ACTCCTCCCGCCTGCTAGTACCGCGTTCTCTGCCGTGATCTCAGAGAATGACGTGCCTCCACAAGCACTGGGAGCAGACCTCCACCGCTCGCGACTCCCCCGCCCGAAATTGTCGAGCCATTTCTAGTCGAGCCATTTCTAGCCGAGCCATCGCCGGAGTTCCTATCCAGAGGAGGCCCATGATGCTGCTCACCAGGTTCACCATCCTATGACGGCCTCGAAATTGACCTTCATCATCTACACCGTCTTCACTAGGCATTGCCTCGGAACCCTAGATCGGCTGTCACGACCAGCCCTACGGTGTATCCTCCCCGTCAAATTTGAAAGCAAAATCGGCCTCTTCGACTTCCTCTTCTCGGAGCCCGACCGCTAGACCTAGAGCAACGTTTGACGGATGTTGTAGACGTACGATGGTCGGTGGTTGATTTTCGAAAATTCACCAGCGGGTTCAATTTTGGGGTTGAATGTTTTTTTTTTTAAATTAGATAGATTTGAGGGATCTAATTGTAATTTTATAAATTTTAATTATGTTACAGTTTAGTTCGTATGTCAAATCTATAATTTAATAAAATTTTAGTAATTGCACATTAATGTACAACGCATTGCACCATATCGCGTTCGAATCGCACATTAAAAGTATCATTATACAGACTGCACCATATTGTTATACAAACTGCACATTAGTGCATGTGATATTGCACTTTATTGCAACAGTGCAGTTTGAACAATGACTAAAATATCCCCGCTGAAAAATCAAAAAGTCTAATTATTTTCAAAAATGTCATCATGTGTCTGATTAAGGTTGGACCCTTGACCATGCCTGGAACGTTGATATATAACATCCAACGGCTAGAATGCGTTCTTATTTCTTTCACTATGATCTTTTCTCATTTGATCTCATCTCTCTTTCTCTATATATATTGTGTGTGTGTGTGTTTATAATGTTTTATTTTTTTTAAATTTTTCACTCCCTATTGCAAGAAGATTACTTATTTTATTTTCATGTGNAAAAAAAATCGTTGGGGAAATAAACAATAATACACTCTGATGCGTCTTCATATTATGACTTATTTCGACAATAATTGTAAACTAATCCAGTTTTTGTAATGATTATTTATTTGGAACTTTTTTGTGTATTGTACATTATTGATTTTTTCTTTCTTTGTGCTATAAAACACGACTCGAAAAAATGAAAAGAATTTGATGAGAAGTTATTTGGGTAGTTTGTGACCTATTTCAACCATTTTTTTTTAATTGCTTCCTTGCGAGTTATGCAATTTTATTTTGAAAAAAAAAATAAAAAAATCATGGCTTCGGCCCTGGTTACAATTCTCTACTTTTTAATAAATATGTATATTTTCATATTCAAATAAAATACTTTAAAAAACATAAATAAAAGTGCCATTTTTTAATAGTTTGTATTTTCGTGTTAAATAGAAAAAGAAAGCGGATTGGTTTTTAACAACATAAATAAAGGTGACATTTCACAAAGTAATTTAGTTGGTATAGATCAAGGTTTCATTTTATATGCACTATAAAATGATACAAGTTCTAGAAGAACCAAGATCTCCAATTTGATCTATACCAAGTAAATTACTTCTTTTAAATCTCATCATATAATACAAATAGAAGTAATTTACATATTATAGTCAATATTCTTACTTACTTCTTTTGACTATATTTACATATACAGTCTTATCAAGTCAAAATGTTTTCAAATATGAAAAAATGCTTAAATTATCTTAGGCTAAGTTTGGATTGAAGGATTTACTGAAGGATTTGAAATCTACAGATTTCAAATTTAAAAGTTCAAATCCTAATGCATGTTGTGATGGTAATTGAAGTTGGAGGATTTCAAATTCATGCTAAATGTTTTTAGTCATTAATTTCAAGGATTTGAAATGACTCCTCAAACCTAGTCATTTGAAATCCACTGTTTATCACCGTTGACGATCACGCCATCCGCGATCATTTAGGTTCATCACCACTGCGAGTCAACACCATCGGTGCGAGCTAGACAATTGATTTATAATATTTTCAACACATCCATTCACGGAGTGTGCAAGTAAAAAAAATTATATTTCAAAAATTTTAAAATCAAGAGATTTCAAATCCCTCAAAACAAACAGAGCCTTAAGGAGATATTTTGATATAGAAATCTTTCAACTCAAAAATACAATTCATACAGAATAATGTCTATGAACTCCAGAAGGTGCATGACGCAGTCGTGGAGGAGGCATGCAGCGTGCGGACACAGTCGTCGTCCTCGAACTCCATAAAGCACATGACACAGTCATGGAGCATGTTGCCGACGTCCTTGCGGGCGAAGACCAATAGAGGGATGATATTGATGAAAAAAAGGTTGACCAATTAAAAGTGCCAAAATTGATAGAGCGTATGTAAAATAATTAAGTGAATAAATAGGGAATCAAAAGTTAAAAGAGAGAATAGTTTAGTGTATCAAAAAAATATTTTTTTCAATACAAAACATTTATTTACTTTACTTTTTATGTATATTTATATGATAAACATATTATATATATGTATATATATAATTGTAAAACTTTTAAAATTAATTATTTAGTTTAGCAATGCACCCGATTGAACATGTGACTCTAAATTTCATTACTCTCAAATCTATTACTATATAATACGGAGAAGAAAAAATATTTGAAAAAATATTTCAAATTCCCGCTTAAAAAACTGTTTTTCCCCCTTAAATTTAATTTGAATTTTTTCATTCCCTTTTTTTGCCATGGATTTCCCTTATCTACAACATGATTAGATTTCAAATCTTTTCAGTTCACATTATAATTCGATTTTAATTCGGGATTCAAAATTTGATTAGATTTTTTTTAAATATGTAAAAAAAAGAGAATCCCCTCTCTCTCTCTCTCTCTCTCTCTATATATATATATATATATATATATATATATATATATA